TTGTTTCATAACCCTGTCTGCTATCTTCAGAAATTACGATGCGATGTATCAATACGTGCGTGAACAAAATTATGCTAATGAGGTCATCGCCATCTTGGATTACAAGCGGTAGTTTTTCCCGGCCGTTTCGACTTGCACTGATCACGGTTACCGGTACTAAAAAAGTAACCGTGCATTGATTACAATACTTACCATACTTTGTCGTCAATTTCAGTGAGTAATACAACTTCATTCGCTGACATAAAACAAGTTTTATCTTGAAATTCGACCCCTGTCTTAGTGTTCCCACAGTTCTTGGCTGAGTGCTCACGTTTATTGAAACCTCGCATAAATCAAGAAATAAGTTCGTGTACAAAGTGTACGAAAGCATTCCTTTATTTGACCTTATCATACGATCACAAAAACAACTTTTTAAAATCTTTTTTGGGGTGGTCCTCGGGTAAGCGCCCACCCCCAATTTTTCTTGATTTTGTATGTTCAGGCCCCTGGGCGCGTGCCCGGGGTAATACGGTAGTTATGAATAAGAATAGTTATGAATATAATAGTTAAATTTTCAAATGGACATCAAGTACAATGGTATTTTGGGTGATTAGCCTGGGCTCAATGTTTGCACACACTTCGTTAGCACCCGTGATAAGGGTCTAGGCCGTATTTTGAAAATGGGTCATCTTCTATGTTTAATAACCTATTGCATTATACTATATATTATTAAGTCAACAGTATCAAGTGCATGATTTGTTGTGATTTTAAAAACAAATTAACCCAAAGATATATAATTCCATATTTTACGTTTACCTACAATTGTACTGGCTTAAAATTGAAGCAAACTGAAGGGAGGGAGGAAAAAGAGGAGAGCTGTCAATCCCCATGTGCCATTACCGGGTATATCTGTGACATGAAAAAAAAAAAATGACCATTTTATTCATGTAATGAAAAATAAAATGATCATTATAATACCGGTACCCATTAAAAAAATAGGTTGTCACCCACTTCATCATTAAATAATAAATTACTATTATGCTGACCAGTGTAAAAATAGTGGTCATTATAACTACCAGTTTGAAAATACTGGCCAATATTTTGACCGTTAAAACATTTCTGGTTGGTATTCTGGCCATTAAAAAAATAGTGGCCATTACAATGGCCAGAAGTGACTTTTTAAAGGGGTCTGAGGGGTGAAAAGTTAAAGTGAAATGAAAAAATTATTATAACCTCCTCACTAAACTAAAAGCACAAACAAGTCATTGTCAATGACACGTCCCCGTTCCGTTCATATTTGAGTGACTTATACATTCAAAGCAGATCATGACCGAAATGCACCTGCATATGTACAACACATTGTACTAAATCTGAACAAAATCCATCCATGCATGACTGAGATCTGGTTCCGGAATTGTGAAAATACGTGATTTTAATGCATTTTCAGTCTTAAAATGGCCATCATTCAGCTATTGTTAAGCGGATCATGAAACAAATGCACATATCTATTTGTGACATGATGCACCATGTGTGTGTGAAGTTTGAACTTGATCAATCCAGACATGTCTTGGATACGGATCCAGAACTGAATTCTTTAAGAAAATGGCCGCCAGTCGGCCATTTTGAACTTGATCCGTAAAAAAAAATTACGTGCATCAAGGTCCTATTATGTTTAATGTAAGT